GGCTTCCTCTCTGAAATCAATAAAAATATATTTTTTACAAAGACAAGGTTGAATGTATGTAAAGACATACAGACATAAAGATATGATAGTACCTATAAATATCTAGCCCTTTATCTGTTATAAATGTAGGAAGGTGTAAGGATGGTAGAGATGAATAAACCTTGGTGTTTTCAATGAAGCTTAAATGTAGCCTGAAAGATGTAGGTAAAGCTGAAACTTAATGGGCAAAAATACTCAGTTTCAAAGTTCAGATTTTAAAGTTTGATATTACAGTGTGTACCATTTTTATTTTCTTCCCCATTCATTTAGTGTATAGTAGAACATTTCCTTCCCATTTGGAGGAGGAGAGAAAATAACACATTACAAAATCAAGCATAAAGACCTCATGTCTCTTCCCTGCATTTGTCACCATTAAATCTAAAATTCACTCAATATTTCTTTTGATTGGTTAGCACAAACTCAGACTCCGAAGGCAACATATTCCTTAAAAAGAAAAACCTGCCCTAACCAGTTTGGCTCAGTGGATAGAGCGTCGGCCTCCGGACTGAAAGGTCCCAGTTTCAATTCCAGTCAAGGGCATGTACCTTGGTTGCAGGCACATCCCCAGTAGGAGGTGTGCAGGAGGCCGCTGATCGATGTTTCTCTCTCATCGATGTTTCTAACTCTCTATCCCTCTCCCTTCCTCTCTGTAAAAATAATCAATAAAAAAAAATAAAAAGATAAAAAGAAAAGCCTGGAGCATTTGAGATCTTGCTCTGCAGCATGTTATCAATTTAGCTCCAAATCTACGAAAAAAACAAAACAAAACCTGAGGCACCTTATCTAAGCTTAAATTCAGCTTTAGGCAAAAAAAAAAAAAATATCACTCTAAACAATAGCCTCTTTCAGATTAAGTAGAGAGTTTATAAATAGACAAAAGACATTGTTTCAGTTATCTATTCACTGGAAAAGATGCATAACAAATAACTAAACTCAGTGAAGTAAAAAAAAATCATTTCATTATGCTCATGGATTCTTTTTTTTAAGACTTTATTTTTTAGAGCAGTTTTAGGTTTACAACAAAATTGAAAGGTATAGAGAATTCCCATATACCTAGTACCCCCATACATAATTACCTTTTCCAGAATATAGTTGAAATTATACAGTATATAGCCTTTTCAGATTGGCTTCTTTCACTTCATAATATGCATTTAAAGTCCCTTTTGGTCTCTTCATAGCTTGATAGCTCGTTTCTTTTTTAGCACTGAATCATATTCTATTGTCTGAAAGGTACCACTGTTTATTAATCCATTGATCTACAGAAGGACATCTTCATTGCTTTCAAGTTTTGGCAATTACGAATGAAGTTGCTATAAATATGTTTATAGCTTTTCATGTGAACAAAAGATTTCAGTTCTTTTGGGTAAATAGTAAGGACTGCAACTGCTGGACCGCATGATAAGAATGTGTTTTATTTTGTAAGAAGCCACCAAACTGTCTTCCAAAGAGGGTGTACCATTCATTTTGTATACCCACCAGCCATATGTGAGATTTCCTTTTGCTCCACATCCTCATCAGCATTTGGTGTCAGTGTTTTGAATTTTGGCCATCCTAATAGATGTTTAGTTGTTTCGATTTGCATATTCTTGATGTGGAACGTCTTTTCATATGCTTATTTGACATTTGTAAGTCTTCTTGGTGAGATCTGTTAAGGTATTTTGGCCCATTCTTTTTGAGTTTTTGTCTTCTTACTATTGTTGAGTTTTAAGAATTCTTTGTATATACATTTTCTTTCTTTTTTCAATCCTCACCCGAAGATATGTTTTTTCAATTGATTTTAGAGAGCAAGGAAAGGAGAGAGAAAAAAAATCCATGTGAGAGTAAAACATCAAAAGGTAGCCTCCTGTACACTCCCTGACCAGGGATTAAATCCCAAAGCTTTTTGGTGTACAGGGTAATGTTCCAACCCACTGAGCAACTGAGCCAGGGCAAGAGTTCTTTGCATATTTTGAATAACAGTCTTCATCAGATTTGTCTTTTGCAAATATTCTCTCCCAGTTTGTGTCTTGTCTTCTAACTTTCTTGAGTTCATGGATTCTTCGGTTCATGAATCAGGACAAGGCAGAACAGGAATGGCTCACCTCACAAGTCTGGGGCCTCAGCTGGGAAGACTCAAAAGGCTGAAGGGTAATTCAAATACCTGAGAACTGGAATCTGCTTCTCCACTCACATAACTGGCACCGGGGCTGGGCAAACTGGAGGTCAGCTGTGATTGTCAGAGTACCTTCAAGGGGCCTCGCTTACGTTGTGGGCTTTTCACCGCACACCAGCCTCAGGTAGACCTCTTACATGATGGCTGAGAGTTCCAAAAGCAAGTTCCAACGGACAAGGTGAAATTTCATGGCCTTTTATGACCTAGCCTCTTAAGTCACATGTAGTGGCTCAGATCACTTTCACTATATTCTCCTGGTCAAATCAGTCAGAAGCCCACACAGATTTGAGGGAAGAGTCTATCTTTTTGTGGGTATTTTAAAACCACCACAAACATACTTATACAGAGATATGGAGATACATGCCAAAGGGTTAACAATGCCCACCTCCCAGGAACCTTCCAAGTGAATTTCACTAACTTCTCATTTTAAGTCAGACTAATCGAAACATATCTTCTATGGATGGCAAAATTCCATCTACCTATTTTTATGTGATACAATGACAAATCAATATAAACTTCATTTTATCTACATAAATTGCATCAGGAATGTCTAATAGCTTGCTTTTGACCCCAGTACCATCTGCTAGTTACAACTGTTTCTTATTTTCAAAACACTATCAAGCTCAGATCCACCCTCAGGCTTAGGCTGTCATATCCAGAAAGAATAGAGACCACCTATAACAAGTAGAGCAGATAGATCAGGATCATGTAAGCATTGTGATTGCTGAATTTAGTGGCTATACCCTACCTCAGTGATTACTAGACTTTAGGATTTCATAGGCCAAAAAAAATTTCAGAAATAATCAAACAAATATGAACAAATAAAGCTACCAACTTTTTATTCTCCAAAGTAAGGACATTTAGAAAACAACTACTGTATAATTTTCATCATAGAAAAGAAATGGAATGGACAATTTCAAATTAAGCACACTCCTTAAGAGTGAATAAGTTTGACTGAATAAAAAACTCACTGTATATATTTTTCTCATTTCTCTGTTGATCTGCAGAAACTTCATCATAGATGAACCCCAGTTCACAAACGGGTATGGGAACAACTTGTGCATCTGACATTCTGGCTCTTTCCTCTCTTGCTTTATTCTAACAGTTCAAGAACTGTAGCTTGCTCATAGGAATTCAGTCTAAAAAGACAGATAAATAAGTAAAAAAATTACAACATTTGACTGGTCAGAAAAGAGTACTATAGCCCAGCTATGGTAGCTCAGTGGTTGAGCGTCCTCCTAGCAACCAGGAGGTCACCGTTGATTCCTGGTCAGGGCATATGCCCAGGTTTCAGGCTTGACCCCCAGTGGAGGGCATGTGGGGCATGCTGGAGGCAGCCAATCAATGATTCTCTCTCATCATTGATGTTTTTATCTCTCCTCCCTCTCGCTTCCTCTCTGAAATCAATAATATATTATTTATTTTTTTTATGAGTGCTATAGGATATGGGGGAGGGGAATCAAGGAAGATTTCACAAATTTGGCAAAAAAAGTTTACCTCTGAGAAAGAATATAGGTGGCAATGACTGTGGCTGAAAGCACAGAGACAGTCCACATGTGCAGTATATGCAAGGAAGACTATATTGTGTATCAAAAAAGTAAATAGTCGTTATACTTAGTTATAGAGTAAAGGTTACTTTTCTATTCTTTATTCTTATATTTTCTGCAATTTAGCAGGGGAATATGCCTTAATGTGAAGATCAGGAAATTTTTAAAAATACAATTCCCATTTCGTAGAGGTTAGCTTAGGAAGAACAAACAAAAGGCCTATTTCTCAAACAGTTTGTATTACCATACACCAGATTGTAATATGCAGATGTTAGATCTAGAAGAGGGATGCAGGAACCAAGCAACAAATGTTGGCCAGCACAAATGACACCAGGGAAGTTAGCATTCCCTCACTGCCTGTGGGAACCCTAGGTTGGGTGTACTCACTACAGGAGAGCTTCTTGTTCAGAAATTCTCAGCTGGCAGGTGCTCTCAGACCCGCCCATGCTAAACTCCCAGCTCCAACACTCACTAGCTCGGAGAGCTCAGGCAAAGTATCCAGCCACCCGAATCTGTATTCCCATCTGTAACGCGGAAAACTGCCCACCTTTTGGAATGTTTGTGCAGAATAACTGATAGAAAATAAAGAACTTAGTACAGTGCTTGCCCCTCAGAAAATGACAGTTATAACAGGGGACGCGTTTGTGAGCAAGCAAATGGTAAATGGGCTCTTACAGGCCTTTCTAAACGAATCGAGAAAGCCCGAAGAACATAAAATGTGTCAGTTTGGAATGTCAACCTTTTGAAACTTAAATGGGTGTGAGCTTTGAACACAGGTTCCCAATGCAGAAAGGATATTCAGTATTTGCAGGGCTTCTAAAAGCAAGCTATCTTTAGAAGGGCCTTTCTGCGGGGTCCCGAAACGCCTGAGCGGCCCACCCCACTGACAGAAAACGAGGCAGACGTTTCCCATTCTTTCTCTCTGACTTTTGCAGGGGGCTCCCCCATCCTCTCCCACCGAGAATCCGAAATCTTTTGTGCAGAAGAAGGTTCGGGCCTAAGGTAACGACTGCCTCTTACCCAGGCTTTCTGAAAGCCGGAATACAGCCGGCGGAAGGACGGAGTAGCTGTTCCTCAAGTGAGCTCAGTCAATTCTAGCAACTTCCATCCCCTTTCCCTGCTTCCAAGTCTCTGACCTTGACACGCCTCCTTACAGCCCCGCCCCCCTCAGCAAATGGCCAATCGGAGCGTGCAAAGAGAACCGGATAAGGCGGGCGCAGCTTGGTACTTTCGACCAATCACCGACCTCAGACCGCTGGGGCTGAAGCCATGGTTTGGCCCTGGGTTCCGCCTGGGGAGGGTGGCCCTTTGGCGCAGGTGCGGCAATCGTGGGGCTGGAGAGTTTGATTCTCCCTTTCTGTTTATCCGAAGAAAAGGGCGCAGGGAGCCCTGTGAGCCCAGGAGGTAGGAAGCTTGGCCGCCCGAGGGAAAAGCGAGTGGGCCGGCAGCTACGAGGCAGAAGCAAGCTGTGTGCAGGACCCTTAGAAGCCGGTCCGGTTCGGCGCAGCCCTCCAGGCCATGGTGCAGGCGGAGCTCTGGGCGATCCCCAGGTGAGGGCAGCGGCTCCGCCCGGGGTTCCCGCCGCGGAGGCACTGGGTAGATGCGGAGCGGGGAGGAAAGAATGCAGCCCGGCCAGCTCCCCGGGAGCACCCAGAGCGGCCGCCGTTGCCGCAGCTGCAGCAGAAAGCACAGCGCAGGCCGAGGAGGCGGCTCCTGCTGCTGGTAAAGGCGCCCAACAGCAGTTTCTCTGTAGTATGCGAGTTGAGAAAACAGCCAAAGAACAGGGCTCCCCATCAAAACCTCCTTCGAGCCCTTTTTCCTTGCTACTCGGAGCTGATTTATGCGGAGACATGCCTTGCACTTGTACCTGGACGAACTGGAGACAATGGATTCGACCCTTAGTGGCGGTCATCTACCTGGTGGTCATAATGGTCGCGGTTCCCCTTTGCGTGTGGGAATTGCAGAAACTGCAGGTAAGGGGACTGCACCCTCGGCTCTGCCCTTTCTTCTACCTTCCTGCCCATCTCAGGTTGCCCATTTTTACCCTGAATGCCCCAGACTTGATATCCTGAAAACCTTATCTCGTTAATGAGCCCAGTTTTAGGATATAAGCCTGTCTGTTTCCTTGTGCATAGTTTTTCAAAGCATGACACAGGTGGAGGCAGGACCTGGTCGAGAACATAGTTAGGATGTAGTAAGGTAGCTGCGTAAAAGAGCACTGTTTTGTTCTGCAAGTATTCATCAATTCCTTGAAAGTAAGGGAATTCTATTCCTTAAATCTAATCTGTTCAGATGTTGGACTCTTGATCATATAAACTACCTTGAAAACCATGTATTGACTTTTATTAGCATTTAATTAGCTTCCTGAATTAAAAGATTCTAGTTGGTTTAACTTTGTTGTTTGTTTTTACTTTAGAAATTAACTCTTAACCAACAAAGGTTTTGCAAAAAGTCCCTTGTTTATTTTTTGATGTCATATTCTTATTATGACATCAGTAAAGTACTACAAGCTGGAAGAACCCAAGGTAAATACTTAACTAAGATATGTACTTTATAGAAATTGTATAATGAACTTTAAATTCTAAGTTAAAAATAACCAGAAAGTACTTTTAGTTAGAAACACCTATTCTACAAGACCTATGACAAGACCATGGCTGTTTGAGGGCTTTTGTTTACATGTTTGTTTGTTTTAATTTTATTTTTCAACTGCAGTTGACATTCAGTATTATATTAGTTTCAGGTGTACAGCATAGTGGTTAGATGTTTATATAACTTATAAAGTGATCATCTCAATAAGCTTGCACCCATCTGACACCGTACATAATTATTACAATATTATTGACTATATTCCATATGCTGTACCTTATATTCCCATGACTATTTTGTAATTGCTAACTTATACTTTTGTTGTTGTTGTTATTGTTTTAATCCTCACCCGAGGATATTTTTCCATTGATTTTGCGAGAGAGTGGAAGGGAAGGGGAGAGACAGAGAAAGAGACACATCGATTGGTTGCCTCCTGCACACTTGACCAGGGCCAGGGATCAAGGCTGCAACCCAACTTGTACTTCTTCATACCTTCAATTTTAGGCCTTTAATTGTGGAAATGATTTTTACATAAGTAAACAAAATGTATTTAATATACATTTGTTTTCTGCATGTTCACTAAATTATTTTTTGTTTCTTTTCCCATACTGGCATAGTCCATATAGTTATTTATAATGTTAATATCCTATTCAACCACATTAAATATTTCCTATTTGTTGGATATTTAGATTTTTTCCATAATTTGTTTACCAAAGACATCTTAATACCAATGGGGATTTTTTACTTTGAAGTATTTGTTTGGAGTATGGTATAGGGCATACTGTTATGGTTAATGATATGCATAGTAGCAACATATTTTAAGACTTCTCAGTTGTTGGTTTCAACTAGTTTTTTAAGTGCCAGCTTTTAAGGAAAATTTTAATCTGCAGTCTCCACTGCTAACACCCTGAGATGAATTCTTATCATGTTTTGCCTGGACTATTCTCAACACACCAGCAAAAGTATTGAATTAAAACATTAAAGTGTGTCCTCTTTTCAAAGTTTTCCAGTCACTGCTAGTCCCAGATCAAAAGTCAATATCCCTAACTATGGCCATTAAGGCCCAACATGACCTGACACCAACCTCACTCCATCCCTGTGACTTTCCTCAGTTCCCGAGTTTTCACGAAAGCCTTGCTCAATCATGAGGGGCATGCACCCTCCTTAAGGCCATTGCACTAAAGGGAGTTTTCAGAACAGAGATGGTGTTTAAAGCCATAAAGATGAATGTCATTGTAAGGAAGAAGAAAAGGCCAAGGACCTAGCACCAAGAGTTAGAGGTCAAGTAGAAGAATGGGAACCTAACAAAAAAGGAGTAGCAGCCAGAGGGGAAGTGCAGTGCCAGGAAAGGTGTGTTTCTGGTGGTGTTGAGCCATCCACTGACTTCACAAGATAGAAATTGCCATTTTATAGTGACCCTAATAATGGTTCAATGGAAATGTAATGGCTGAAACTAGAGAGAGTTGTTTGAAAAATGAATGTGGTGGGGTAAAGAAGTGGAATCAAGATAGGAAAACAAGTTTTTGTTCATTTTTGTTTTGAGTATTTTGACTCCCAAGGGGACCTAAGAAATGAATGGCATAGAAGATAGGAGTGTGGGATTAGGAGAGCAGGGTTGTTGTTTTCTTTCCCCTTGTTGTTTTGGTTTTTAAGGTTCTAAACACTTAGCTATAGCATGTTCCCAATATTTGGATATAATTTTATTTAACATTCTTAATATCCTGGAAGCATTGGTATTATCTTCATTCTATAGAAATGAAAACTGAGACAAGTGGCTAACGTGACATTGTGGTAAAGTGCTCTACTTATATTAATTACCCTTATCATTCTCTTCATCATTATTCACTAAATGAGTTTGTGTATCCAAAACACTTAACACTCTGCTCAGCACATAGTAGGTGCTCAATAAGCCCTAATTACCACAGTTTTTAAAATAGCATCACTATTCTTGCATTGGAGCAGCAATTCTTTTTTTTTTTTTTTTAATATATTTTATTGATTTTTTACAGAGAGGAAGGGAGAGGGATAGAGAGTTAGAAACATCAATAAGAGAGAAGCATCAATCAGCTGCCTCCTGCACACCCCCCCACTGGGGATGTGCCCGCAACCAAGGTACATGCCCTTGGCTGGAATCGAACCTGGGACCCTTCAGTCCGCAGCTGACGCTCTATCCACTGAGCCAAACCGGTTAGGGCAGCAATTCTTTTTCTTCTGTAATAGCATCTCAGTTGGGATTAGGTTCTCAATTGAACACCTAAGGCAAAGTTGTAGCATCTGCCTGAGCCTTAGATAAAGTAGTTGATATTTAGAGACAGTTTTGTATGAAAACACATGTCTTTTAAACACTAGAATCACAGTGCTCACTGAAGTGGATGGGAACTGAGATTGTAGAAAACAGGAGGTTCCTAAAGCTGGTCACATGGCCATGGTGGGGCGCACACATTTTTTGGAATGGCAAGATGACCATCTACACTATTTAAGCTATTTCTTTCACTCTCTTACTTGGCCAAGTATGTATAATTGAAGTGAAGTAAATTAAATGCACAAATGTCACGATCCTCTGCAGTCATTTTGCTCTGCCCTCTGGTCTTCATGCCCCAAGTAGCTACCCTCTATGTTAGTGCTTCTCTCCTCCCCTCAGGAGGATTGGGGAAAATGCTCTCCTATTCCTCTGTACTCTGCTGTGAAAGCATTCCACTGAGGGACAATTATCTCACTCCTGGATGCTCATCTTTAATGGTCTTTTCTTTCCTCTCTACTTTCTTCAAGTTACCTTAGTGGGGGGGGCGGGGGGGGGGAAATCTCTGCTGCTTATCTCCCCCTTGTTTTGTGAGCCAGGAAACCCTACTCATGGCTCAGAAATGTAATAATGTTAATGGTATCCCTATGTCAGTGTGTCTCAAGTGTGCATAATTCAGAGATAAATGTAAATTAAATTAAAATCAATGTAATAATTATATTAACTTCTACAGATACCTAGAGGTGACTTATTTTATTATATTGCTTAAATATGCATCAAAGAATTTAAATTTATACATATGGCTTTTCATATAGTTCAAAAATCAAAACAACTGTAAAACCAGTGATTCAAATGAATGGCATTAATGTGTACAGATGAAACTCAACTACCACTGCCGATGTAAAAATGGTACTAACTCCATGATGCGAGATATTTTAAATTTGGCATCATGATACTGAAATGACTCGTTATCTAGTCACTCCTTTTCTTATCGTTTAAAAAAGAACTTTTTCCCTTACAGCACACTTTGCCTTTATTAGTCATAGACACATCATTTTTCTCTTAAGTCTACTACCAAGTTCTACTTTTTGGCACTAAGGCAATCATAAAGACAACTGTGGGCATTAAAATTACGTGGCAAGACAACTGTGGGCATTAAAATTCCTAGTGATCACCTTATAATAGAAAAGATCTATATTATTACTTTAGGTCATCACTAAAATGAATACTCACTTTTAAATGACATTTAGTCAAGCAGAAATCCCTGGAATATGATTGCTCAGACATTCCTTTCAGAATCTTCAATTCCACACGTTGGCCTTTCACTTACTGCTTTGAGTAATCTCCAGCATTCAGCAAGGCTTTCATATTTGCTTTTCAAGTTCTCCATACAGTTTAATGTAGGAATTTGTTGTTATAAAAATATATTTGTCAGTATTCTTTTGTTTTCTGCTTCTTTAATCTTTGACCACCTTTTACCGTTCAAAACTGTAAAACTAGAAGTTGTGGACTTCAGTTCTATTTTAATTAACTGCTCAAATCCCTCAAGTACCAAAAATAAATGCCTACCTTTTTTCCTTTAAAAAGTTAGCATTTGCTTTTTTTTTTTAATTAAAAGAATTCACACTCTTTAAGGCAAGAGTCCAAGTTAGTATAAAATTTATTCTCAAGGGCACCTCAGATATAACAGAGGTTCAAATAAATTTGTTTTTTATCAAAAAGTATGTGCCTTATTGCAACTCTACCTAGGATGAGATAATTCAAAGTATATTTTTAGAAATTAAGCTTTTACAGGATAGAATATTGATCAGATATTGACCTAAAAGAGAAATTAGAGCTTTTATTGTTTTATTTTTTTCCCTTTATTGATTAAGATATTACAAACGTGTCCTTATCGCCCCATTGTCCCCCATCCCCCACTCATGCCCTCATCCCCCGGTGTCTGTATCCATTGGTTATGCTTATATGCATGCATACAAGTTTAGAGCTTTTTTAAGTGTAATATCCTGAGTTGATATTGTTATGTATAAAAGGGATAGCATATATTAACACAGTTTACTTGAACAGTAGTTGTTGCATTATTTATCAAATAGGAGGGTTAAAAGACTTAATGCATGTTAAAGTATCTGATATAGTCAGCATTCAGTAAATGTTCTACTAACATGTTGTGTAACAGAATTTGCAGAAAATGTAGGTAGGTTTTTAACTTTCTAGATATAAAAGCAAAGGAATAAACCATATAAAGATTTTTAGATTTGAGTTTGTGTAGAAAATTTGAAAATTCTGTATATCTCCAAACACAATAATCAACTCTAAAGGCCAAGTCAGCCGAGGGAAAATGACATGATGTTAACATTGTTAATGTACACAACACTATTACAAAAGGCCCCATGAGGAAAAATGCTCAATCCCATGAGGAAAACTCTGCTCCCTCCCTCTACAAAAGTAAGAATAGGCTGCTTATTAAAGAATAAATAGCCAAAACCGGTTTGGCTCAGTGGATAGAGCGTCAGCCTGCGGACTGAAAGGTCCCGGGTTCGATTCCGGTCAAGGGCATGTACGTCAGCTGAGGGAAAATGACATGATGTTAACATTGTTAATGTACACAACACTATTACAAAAGGCCCCATGAGGAAAAATGCTCTATCTCTCTCCCTTCCTCTCTGTAAAAAAATCAATAAAATATATTTAAAAAAAAAAAAAGAATAAATAAAAAAATGGCTACTAGTCATTTGGAAAATATTAAGCCCCATTAATAATCAAATGGAAATTTAAAAAATAAAAATATTTAGCTCTTTACTTTTAATATCAGAGAATTTATACCAGCGTGTTCTTCTGCTTCTTAAGGTTGGAATACACACCAAGGCTTGGTTTATTGCTGGAATATTTTTGTTGTTGACTGTACCTATATCACTATGGGGGATATTGCAACATTTAGTGCATTATACACAACCTGAACTACAGAAACCAATAATAAGGTAAATCTTAACATATTTTGAATCTACTGTATTAGTGTTGTATTGACTGACTTACTTCATAAATATAATGTAAAATGTTTTTAATTTATGTTTTGCTCTCCAAATAGGATTCTTTGGATGGTACCCATATACAGTTTAGATAGTGTAAGTATGTTTCATTTTATCTCATTAAGGACTTTTTGAAGATACTAACTATACTTGCAGAATGCTTAAATTAATGAAAGTATTTGACACTAAGAATCAAATTAAGAAGAAAAGTGAAAAGGTTCACTTGTTTTCAATGTTGATAAAGAAGGTAAAGTATGACAATAGAGAAGGCAGACCTTTAACATTTTTTAAAATCTATAGCTGTTAGTGATCTCCCCTGAGCATGCCCCTCGCCTTTCCCCTTCCCCTCTTCTTCCTCCTGCACCCAGGTCCATTCTCTCCTGAGCCCATTTCTTCTACCACTCACTCCTACCTCTATGATGATTTTCTAAATAAATGTTCTCTTATTTAAAAAAAAAAAAAAACTATAGCTGTTTTCTTTGCTTGATCTTTTAAAATTTCAGATTAATAGCTCTTAGCCCTAAAAGAATACAATGTTTAAATTGATATCATCATCCTTTTTACTTACTAAATCTTTCATTTCAACAACAAAAAAACCTTCCCAATGGATCCTACCACACTTGTTACAGGTGACTGCTTTAATTTATTCAGTATAAAGGAAATGTTTTTCACAGCATTTTCTATGATTATGTCAAGAAACATTTCAGATTTTATTTAAAAACTCAAGTGAATGTAATTTAGCTTCGTTGTATTCATTATTTACCCCCAAACATGGACATTTCATTTACCAATATCCAAAATGTTTACTGCTTTTAGAAATTCACCTCACAGATTGTCTGGTATGTGGCAAGTTCAAAATACCATGAATTGGAGTGGTGATTCATTTTATCTTAGCCGCGACTATTTTTAACACTCCGGTGTGGGGTGAATTTCCCGCCAAAATATAAGATGGCTCTGTCTTTTGGTTTTGTTCCATCCACCAAAAGGGTGGATTACAAACAAATATTTGGTAATACGCAGTTACAATCGGCCCGAGTTTACACGTTTCCCGCACTCCACCGCAAATCTATATGAACCGAGTTAAAGACGGCTCCCGCGGAGTACGCGCAATTCACGCGAGCCGACTTAACTCGTTTCCCGCACTCCAAGTGTTAACATCTGTGCTTTTTTATAGTGGGTAGCTTTGAAATATCCCAGCATTGCAATATATGTGGATACCTGCAGAGAATGTTATGAAGCTTATGTCATTTACAACTTTATGGGATTCCTTACCAATTATTTAACTAACCGGTATCCGAATCTGGTATTAATCCTTGAAGCCAAAGATCAACAGAAACATTTCCCTCCTTTATGTTGCTGTCCACCATGGACTATGGGAGAGTAAGTATGCTTTGTTTTATTTCTTTTATGTTTTGGTTTTATTTAAGCTGCCAGTTCTCTGCAAAGCTGTGTTAAGTACTATGAGCAGGACAAAAAAATCTGAGTCCCTAACCTTGAGTAGTTCATAGTCAAGTTTGAAGACTAAAACAACACATTTTTATAATCCACACATAAGTTAGTTTCTTTTACATTATTCATTATAAATAGAAAACTTAAAATATTGTGGGTGTAAACCTTAAAAATCATTTCATTAACACCCTTTTACAATTGGAAACCAGGGTCTGCAGAAATTAATTTACTCAAGATGATATAGCTAGTTAATGACAAAATCATACGCTTTTTCTATATCTAGTGAAATGATCTTGGTTTTTCACCTTTAACCTATTAATGTAGTGAATTTTCTAAAATCAAAACCTTGCTTTCAAGGACAAATTTAAAGTGGTTATGATGTATCATCTGTTTTTCTACAAGATTTGGTTTGCTAATATTTTGTTTAGAATTTTTACATAAGTAAAATTGGACTACTAGTTTCCTTTCTTATACCTTCCCTGTTTGGTTTTGATATCCAGGTTATACTGCCTGAATAAGAATTACTGCCTTTTATTTGTCTGTTACAAGAAGAGATTGTGAACTATACCTTGAAAGATTAGGCCTGGACTTTTCATTGTGGGAAGACATTATAGAACTAGTCAGGCTTCCTATTGTTTCTGGAATCGTGTGTGTGTGTGTGTGTGTGTGTGTGTGTGTGTGTGTGTGTGTGTGTTATACTTTTTAGGAATTGGGCAGAATAAAGTTTTAAAATATATGGGCTACATTAGTTTATAACTTCATCTCTCTTGGATTTATTGTGATGACTCCTTTTCCATTTCTAATGTTATTAGTATCTTTATCTTTTTCTTGAAACATCTTGCCAGAAGTTTCCCTACTTGTCTCAAGGACTGATTTTTTGTTTTGTTTTGTTTTGAGTCTCTCTAGAATGTATTTGTTTTCTATTCCATTATTTCTGCTCTGTTTTTTTCCTTTTTCATTTCTTTTGGTTTACTTTGTTCTTTTCCTAACATATTAGAGCCTTAGCTTTTTAATTTACAGCCTTTCTTCCTTTAACATGCATTTAAAACTATACATTTTACTTTAAGTTCTACATTCATTCCTTGCATCTCAGTTCATCTGTCTCTAGAATCACTTCCTTAAAAGTATTTTAAGAATTCCTTTAGTTTTATACTTATCCAAAGTATCTTTATTTTGCCCTCATTCTTGAAAGATAGTTTTGCTGGATGTAATTCTTGAAAGATAATTTTGCTGGATTTAGTTCTTAACGTTGACAGGAATTTTCTCCGAGCATTTTGAAGAGTTTATTCCACCTAATTCTGGCTTCGGTTTTTACTGTTAACCCTCTACTGTCAAACTAATTGTCTTTTCATTATAGGTGACCTGTCTCCCAACTGCATTTAAGACCTTATCTGTCTTTGATATTTTGCAGTTTATGAAGTATCTAGGTTTTTTTGGTTTTGTTTTCAGTCCTGCTTAATTTACAGTGTGCCTCAATCATGTAGATTCATGTTTTTCATCAGTTCTGAAAAGTTCTAAGCCGTAATCTCTTCTGATTTTGCCTTTCCTCTACTGTCTTTTGTAACTCTGATTATATGTTACAATTGATTCTATTTCGTTCTTTGTAACTGTCATTCACATTGTCTGTCTCAGCAATTCTTTCAGATAAATCTCCTAGTTCTTTAATTCTCCACAGCTTTCAGTGGTATCTAATTGGCTATTTAATCCATCTGTGTAGTCACCCTTAATGGTCTCAGGTTCGGTGTGCAATCAGCTCATAGAATACTATAGGTTTAACCAGCTCCAACTTAAGCTTTGTAAAGCTTACGGGACAGGAAGCACACCACGTGCAGCCAAAGGATGCTCATCAAGAGATCTTGCAACAGCCCAAGTTCAATTCCTAGACACACCACCACAGGGAGCACGCTTACTTGTACGTGGGAGTGAACCACCTCAGCACACAGAACCCCAATAATTATTCAGACCTAGTAACACAGCATCTGAAGGTCTGCATACCAGACTCACAATATTCTCATCCTAGATGTAATTCTTAAGTTAGGGGATTCATAATACATGACAGTGAGAACCAGTTTTCCTGATAGGAGTGCTAAATAAGCATTTGTTCTCAGATCTGCTTGGTCTTTTAAGACTTACACAAGGCTCTCAGGTGGAGAGCCTTTTTTTGGTAGTTGTGTTTTGGGACTTTTTTGTTTTTGTTTGTTACTGCTTGTGAAATTTCCTCTATATTGAGTGAGCCCAGCAATAGAATAAAAACTGTTGTTTATACAGGATTTTTATTTTGTCCTTTCAGAGTATCTAGTCAGTGATAGTCTCTGGAATGCCACTTAACTACCAAACTTGAAACTGAATCCTAAAATGTAAATGATACTTCCTAACTTGCGTGTGTGCATGCTTTCACATACGCATGCACACACACAATTCATTTGTTAGTCAGTTTTCCTTCCAGAAACACACAGGGACCCACTTTTTTTCTTTTGATCTGTGCAGCACTATTCACTAATTTGACACTATACACAGGAAGGGGGTCCTGCAGAAGATGTAGTTGTCAAATAATTTTAAAAATAGTATTTAAATAATTTGTTTGCTGCCACCCACATTCTTCCCCAGTCGCCATTTAGAATGACTAAGTTAAAAGAATTAAATATAAATATGGCATCATTTGTCAAAGTGACTTTAATTTGGGAACTTTGCAGAAAATCTGGTACTATTTAAATGAGTAGTTGAAAATGCTAAGTTCTTTTTTTTTGGCAGAGTCTTGCTGTTTAGGTGCAAACTGGGTGTTTTGCAGTATACAGTTGTCAGACCATTCACCACCATCATTGCTTTGTAAGTACATAGAGCTTCTATTATCGTTTATTTTTTTCCAAATCCTCATGCTCTTATGTGGAACAACTGAGTAGAAAAACATATAAAGAACATTAATTTACTTGTTTATAACACTGGTGTAGTCTTATTTAAAAAACACAGTATATAGAAACCCGACTATATGAAATAAGGTGACCATTTATAGGCAAAGATTTGCCACAGAATTCTTCTAACATTCTCTCTAGAGCTTTCCAGAAATCATTTAAAAAATACTTTCTTTTTTAAATACTAGTTCACATAGCTTTACAGAAACATCTATTACATGAAGTTAAAGTATGCTACTTTAGATTCATTGCATGCTTTTATTTTCTCAGTAGTTAAGTTAGAATATGAACACTATATTCCAAGGTAGAAATCATATTTTTAAATAATTCTGTCGAGGCTTAGCACTTGAGGTAAAATTAAGCTACCTAGTAACAGTTATTCCCTAAAAATTTAAAAACATCAAATAATTTAAAGCAGGTAGATTACATATTTTATCTGCTAGTCATAACTAACATTCTGCATGGTTACAGAGGAAGAAAGGGAAGACAAGGGAGAGAAATGTTCAATTCTTTATTCTGCCTTTGAGCTAGCAATTTTTAGTGATATTTACCTTAGAGTTAAGACTAATTCACTTATTTATGAAGGTATGCTTTATTTTCTGCAGTTTAGAAACTAGGTAATAATATAAGTTAATACTTAGATGTGGGTCTTCATAAAATTTACCTCCAGGCCCTGGCCTGTGTGGCTCAGTTGGTTGGACATCATCTCATGCTCCAAAAAGGTTGCTAGTTCGATTCCTGAACAGGGCAGATGCCCAGGTTGTGGGCTCAATCACCAGTGGGGCATGCAGGAGACAGCTCATCCACGTTACACTCTCATATTGATGTTTCTCTCTTTTCCCTTCTCTAAAAATCAATAAACTATTCTTTAAAAAAAAATTTACCTCCAAGACAATTTGGGTGAAACATTAGTTGTACTTATAGACCTGCATTTTAGAACAATCAAGCTTTTGAAAATAAGGCAGCATAATTTTTTTGAATCTATATATAACTAACCTTTCCAGATCAATGTTTGTGTCTTACTTTGGATTTACTTCAAGTTGGAGGTACAATCATATAACATTTCTAGAAAAAATGTTTTTATTTTTTGAACCACCTCTATGACCAAAATCAAGTAATTATCTATAGGGTCTTTTAAATAAACTGACTTCTAAATTTAAGTATTGCTGTCCATGCTGTATTTATTAGTTAATTTTATCTATAGGATCTTTTAAATAAACTGACAGCTGCTTGGTGTATATGATGAAGGCAACTTTAGTTTTTCAAATGCTTGGACTTACTTGGTTATAATAAACAATATGCTTGGTGTATATGATGAAGGCAACTTTAGTTTTTCAAATGCTTGGACTTACTTGGTTATACTCTAGATTCTTAGGGAAAGTTTCTCTGGAATAAAGCTTAATTGTTACTTTTTTATCTTGAAGTTAGATTTATAGGAAGAATTTCAAGAAGCTGTAATTTATATCTTTATACATATATAAAGGTATTATATCTTTGTTAATTATTTGGTGACATATCTTGACCTGCTTATTGTGTTTGTTCATTTGGTTCTGGGTCCTTATTGCACAATTTATGGATATATCATAAATAAAAGCACAATGCCCTCCCTTAAAAAAAAGTATCTAGGCATATTCAGTAAGATTCTCTCATATATTTGGAATTAAAGGCAAATTGAGAATGCCAAGTTTAAAAAAATTATGTTCTAGATACTGAAATGCTCAAATATTAACTATCTGATTCTTTCAACTTAATGTACACTTTATTTAAAATCTTTTAATACTTTCAGCAAAATAGTAATTTAGATTATGTGGCATGCATGTGTGGTTTTAGAGGTTTAGAATAAAAATGCCCAGGCCTTGGCTCTGTAGCTCCGTTGGTTAGAGCATCATCCCAATACAGGTTGCAGGTTCAATCCCCAGTCAGGGCACATACAAGCATCAACTGATAAGTGCATGGATAGATTTAAAACAAGTCAATTTTCTCTCTCTAAAAATAAATAAAAATTTAAAAAATATTTTTTTTAACCAAATGCCTGTGTATTTAAAGTTTTCTCACATGTTTATATTCTTTGGGACCAGTAATTCCATTTCTGGGAATGCATCCTCAAGTAATGGTCAGAAGTACTTATGCTTTGATTGTCATTATATATATATATATATATATATATATATATATATATATATATATATATATAGGCCCGGTGCACAAAATTTGTGCACGGGGGGGGGGGGGGGGGGGCCCGGGGGGGGGGTGTCCCTCAGCCTGGCTGTGCCCTCTCGGATCCGGGACCCTGCCCTTGTTTGTAATAGTGAAAGGCTGAAAACAATCCTAAACCCAGGGGGGGGGACTGGGGAAATGTACTTTGATCCTTCCACTGGCCCAAAATATTTGGCAGTTATTAAAAATAATTTTTATGAAACCTATGGAAAGTAAGGTTAAGGGGGGGAAATAATCAGGCAACAAAATTTTGTTTTTAGTTGATGATGCCTGTTAAAAACCATTTTAGTTGGATGATGGGTCTGTGAGCAATTTAATATGTTACTGTTTTGATATTCTAAATATCTTAAGTGAACATTTTATTTTAATGGAAAAAGTAAATTTTTAGAAAAATGTTTATTGCTATGCAACACTACATTAGATCATTACAACTAATTTTTTAAAATAGTTAAGTCTTGAGCATTTATTATATAAAAGTAAATAAAGCTAGATTAACATACTGCCCTCGAGAAAAATTGTTTCCCTGATTCCTTACTTTCAGATATCATGGTTACAGTTTTATTGAAAAGTACTTTTTTTAATGTGACTTATAATGAATGGCTCAACCCTTATAAAATTAATGATAATTTGTGTACAAAAGCCATTACTAAGCAGATAATGTTTTAATTTCTTCTCTGCATGGCCGTCATTTGTTCATTGTTTCTGGGCCCCAATAAGTGAACAATTAAAACCATTTTCAGGGGAAATGTTTTACATCTCTTCTGAGAAATTTCATATCATATATATTCATCCACAGTAAACTATAAAAGCTTGTTAATCTAAAAATACCATAATAAAGCCTAGACAAATTTGCCTGAAATATAACTCTGTACCAGGTCTTAGCTTTATAACTTTAATATTTCTAACCCCTTATTTAGTTATTCTTAATGAAGAAGTTTAATTGTTAATCTTGATTGTTTCCAGTTTGCCATGTACTGTCTGCTGCTGTTTTATAAAGTACTGAAGGAAGAACTGAGTCCAATCCAGCCTGTTGGCAAGTTCCTTTGTGTAAAGCTGGTGGTTTTTGTTTCTTTTTGGTAAGTGTTACTTTATCTTCATTGTTCTCATTTCCTAAGGACAATAAAACTGTTGACTAGGGAGGGTTTTTAAAATAGTTTTAATATAGAAGATGAATTAAAATGTCTCTAATTACCTTTTAAAAAGTTCATCCTTTTAGCCCTTCTTGGTTTTTCGTAAGGAAATAACCAGATGGCCACTGTGACATTTACAAGAAGAAAATAATTTGAGCCCGGCCAGTGTGGGTTCAGTGGTTGAGCATCAACCCAGGAACCAAGAAGTCACTGGTTCGATTACCAACCAGAGTACATGTCAGGTTGCGGGCTCCATCCCCAGTGGGGGTGGAGGGGGTGTGCAGGAAGCAGCTGATCCATGTGTCTCTCTCATTGATGTTATCGATGTTTCTAGCTCTCTATCCCTCTCCCTTCCTCTCTCCAAAAATTAATAATAAACATTTTAAAAAATACTTTGAAACAACCTAAATGTCTCAACACTAGAGGAATCATTAAAGTAAAAAATCATTAAAATAAACATGGTGTTTTCACATAAGAGAATACTTTGCAGTTTGCAGTAAAATAGAATATTTAATAATGTGAGAAAATATTCATTAGTAGGTGAGGGCATGAGTGGGGGGTGGGGGCAATAGGGGGATAAGGATACCTAAATAAAAAAGAAAAAAATCAAGTGAAAAAATAAAAATATTTTTAAAGGCAATCCTGGCCAGTGGGTTCAGTGGTTAGAGCAGTGGTTCCCAACATGGGGCACATGCCCCACAGGGGGGCAATTTGAATTTTAAGGGGGGCAATTCGAGAATGAGTTATTAACAGTGAATTTTTTGCAGTTCTTATGGTTCAAGGGGCCTCAAATACAGTATATAAATATAGTGACATAGTTATGCATTTCAGTTCTCTATTATGTTTTGAAACTTTATGTGCTATTTTTTCATATCACTTCATATTATTATGATTTTTTTAAACAATTTCTTAGTGATTTCTTCCTCAGTACTTCAACTGTCCTTTCGTTCTTTTATTTTTCTCTTGGATGGATGCTATATTCTTTGGAAGACTGTTTAGACCAAGTTAATGGCCTTTTAGGCTTCTTCCACGTGAATAGGAGTTCACTTTTTGAATAATAAGAATTATATGTCACAGGGGGGCATCAGGATTTTAGAGATGCTTAGGTGGGGCATGGCCAAAAAAAGGTTGGGAACCACTGGTTTAGAGCATCAGCCAGAGCACCAAGGGTCACAGGTTGATTCCAGTCAAGGGCACTTACCTGGTTGCAGGTTTGATACTTAACCCTGGTCAGCGCTCATGTGGAGGCAACCAGTCAACGTGTCTCTCTCATATCGATATTTCTCTGTTTCTCTTCTTCCTCGTCCTCTCTCCCCCTCCCTCCCTCCCTCCCTCCCTTCCACTCTCTAAAAATCAATGGAAAAAATATCCTCGGGTGAGAATTAACAACAAGAAAAAACAGTTAAAATTGTACATGGTCCCAATTTAGTTATAGGGTGGATGATAAGAGGCCCAGAAACACATCAAATTTAACAACATACAAATAAAAGTGGAAAAAGAAAAAATTCTTAATCCCACCACCCAGAATGATTAACATTGTGTTATTAAAACTCCATAGAAAGTTCCATACTACAAAAACTTAAAGAATTTATTATGTTCAGTATATTGTGGATATAATTCTTTGCCAGTAAAGTAAAATATAATTTTGTTTAGGTTTTTGGTTTTGCTCAGTATTCTGTTGTGTGGATGTAACTTTTTAACCAATCTCCTATTGGCATTTAGGTTATTCCTAATTTTTTCACCATTACAAGCAACATTGAGTGAATATTCTTATCTGTAGAACTATGAAAGTGTGTCTGTCTCATTATTAGCTGATGAAATTTAGCCTAGGGTCACATCGGAGATTTGTTTGAAATGCTCAGTATGACTCCCTGTGTTAGAATTAGACCCCTTCTAAGTGTCTCTAATTCCAGTACTTCAAACAAGACTGGTTTCAAATGTGTTTTAAAATAATTTGAATAATGAACACATGTATAAATAACATTTAAGTATCTACCCTTTATTTCATTGTATTTTTATTTTTTGTTAATCCTCGCGAGGATATTTTTTCCATTGCTTTTTAGAGAGAGTGGAAGGGAGGGAGAGAGAAATATCAATGTGAGAGAGACACATCAACTGCTTGCCTCCCACAGGCACCCGGATGACCGAAGCTGGGGAATGAGCCTGTGACCATTTTTGATGCGCAGGCTGATACTCGAACCACTGAGCACACCAGCCAGAGCTACCTTTTCATTTTAAGTGCCTATTGTACAGTGTGTTAGGCATTTATTATCTATGTATAGGAAGAACTTAAATCTAACTTAAGTTCACACACTTTCAAAACAAAAAGACATAAACCAAGTAGTGAAGTTCCAAGAATACATAATCCAAATTCATGTGATGAAACTCTACTAGAAGAGTAAATTTGTAAAGCAAGTAAGTATATTTAATATAGACACACAGTGTCTTCAAGAATATGCTATGAAGGCAGGGTGTGGTGGTGGTAGTGATGGTCCACTGGTTGTGCTGGGGTTTAACTTTTTAAAATGGCATATTTTTAAAACAATTGCTCATTTTATGCTTGATATAGATTTGGCATTTACCTTTTCCTAACATATAGGCAAGCTGTAGTTATTGCTTTGTTGGTAAAAGTTGGCGTTATTTCTGAAAAGCACACATGGGAATGGCGAACTGTAGAAGCTGTGGCTACAGGCCTCCAGGTAAGTAGTGCTCTCTCTAAATTCAGTATAACTTGACTATTTGTTAAGCATGTTTATATAAAACATTTTATCTTAAACCTGACAATGTGCAGGCTATGGGACTACTGTTATCCTCACTTTACTGGTGAAATGGAGGAACCTAGAGAAATTGGTCATTAATTACTAATTTGTAGTAGAGCCAGGAATACAACCTAGATTTTGTTATTCCTAGTCAGTTTATCTTTCTGCACTTCTTCTCTTAGTTCTTGAGCAATGGGTTGAGCATTCTATGTACTTTGCTAAGAAATACTTGACTAAGTTAACGCAAAATAGATTTAAATTTTTGGCGGTTTTGTGTGGCGTTTTTTGTGGGGGTTTTTTGAGGTGAAAAATAATTACTTTGGAAAGTGGAAAATGATTATACTTAGGAAAACCCCAGCTATTGATACTTAAGTACTTTTGAAAAGGAATAAGTGTTTTTTTAAAAGGCAGATATAGTGTTTTCCCTTTACCTACAAAACTAGACTTAAAAATGACTGATTTTTTTGTTGTAGGACTTTATTATTTGTATTGAGATGTTCCTGGCTGCTATTGCTCATCACTACACTTTCTCATATAAACCATATGTCCAAGAAGCAGAAGAGGGCTCATGCTTTGACTCCTTTCTTGCTATGTGGGATGTTTCAGACATTAGGGATGATATTTCTGAACAAGTAAGGCATGTTGGTAAGTACCAGTCATTGAATTTATCCAAATAGGTAATTTTTGTAAGGGCAATTTAGTAGCTATTTACCGTCTAAGAGATTAAAAGACTTTGTTTAAAGCAGTACCACAATAAGGCTCTTCAAATAAGGAGGGGGGAAGGGAGCTTATTTTTAGCATATAAGTTTATAAAGGTAAAATACGAATACTTACTTTTTGGCTAATTTGGAAACCTTTATATTACCTTAAAGGAAGGACAGTCATGGGACATCCTAGGAAAAAATTTTTCCCCGAGGATCAAGATCAGAATGAACATACAAGCTTGTTATCATCATCATCACAAGATGCAATTTCTGTTGCCTCTTCTGTGCCACCTTCCCCCGTGGGTCACTATCAAGGGTTTGGACGTACTTTGACTCCCCAGACTACCCCTACTATAGCTGATATATCTGATGAAATATGTAATGATACTACAGAAGAAAGAGAACCTTCAGATAAACCTTCAGATAAACCCGTGGTCTCCTGAACAGTGTGTGAACACAAACTGCACTACTGTTACTTCAATACCTGGTATCACATTGCTCAGGATTTTGTGCTTGGGACAAGCCATAAATGATGGGAAAATTTCAACACAAAGATAGGTGGAAGCCAGGTACTACTGGTTTTATATAACTAAATTTTGTATGTCACAAATAACCAGTCTAAATATCCTAGACTTAAGACTCTTAAGATTTCTTCACATTAGAGTATCGCATACTCAAATGGTAGAAAATGACTATACTAAAAGTTCTTGATGTTACATGCTTTATCAAGAGGATGGGCATAAAAAAATAATAATAATCAATGCTTCCTACCACTGCTGCATGAAAATAATGCTCTGGAATTAGCAGAAAGTAAAATTCAGAAATATGAATTAGTGGAACGTAATCATAATCATGTGCCATATATTTCTCAACTGGATGTCTTTCAATAAATAATAATTTATCATTTATTTTCTGCAACTTTATGTCTCTCATTCTTTAAACAGAAATCATTAATGTTTTAACAAAAAGGTCTTGATTAGAGAGGCATAGCATAAAATAAGTCCAGAAAAATTAAGGGTTAAAAATTATATGCCTACAATGAAAGATACCTAGTTCTTATATTCCTATTAGGATAAATAGCTCAGACCTAATCTTATTAATCTTAAAACAACTACTATCTAAAAATCATTTGCAATAACGCTAATAGATTAATGTTATCTGTGACTTTGAGATGAAGAAAATAAACTGGATTGAAGACAGGAAGAATAAGTAAGAAACTTGTAGTAGAAAAGGAGTCTACTTTTCCTCAGCGTTATTGAAGGTGTCAGCTAATGTAAACCTATAAACCACAGTCAGAAGACATGGAGGTGCTATGAATCTTATTACTTAGGATGGAGTTTCTGGGTCGTATTTAACATTTTATACCAAAAATGAAATATAGAAAGTGCCATAGTAGTATGTTGCAAGTAGCAAGAGTATTTGTCAAAACCCTGACTTTACATACTTATACACACACATATTCACATATATACTGGTTCACAGTAATTACATACAAAGCCTTTATTGTGTCCACTACTATAAACTAAACATTTCTATTGAAAGTAAAGCCAGGTAGTATATTATTAGAGGTAATGAGAATAGGCAATGTGAAAAGAAGGTACATCTTATTTTCTTTGAGGCTTAGTTACAAATAGCACATAGTATATACACAACATGATCATCTTATTAATCTATTTCAAGTCTTTAAAAATTAGTTCAATTATATATTTACTATGCATCCAAATCAAAACTTTGAAAAATACTGGTTTAGGTTTAATTCTTTCTTGAATTTATCGTTTTCATTTTTTCTTTGCCAAAGCAGACCAGGAAAAATGCTGCCTCCTTAAGATTTCCTTTCTTTCCTCTTTTACTCTTAATTACATTTAGCTTAGAGTTTAAATTCTTTTTGCATTCCCAAATCACAAAATCTAAGAAGTTATTTCAGAAGTACACCCAGTATTTAAAAGAAGCAAGCTTATAATTTACAAGTAACCATAGCCTTCAGTCTTCAGTGGAAGCCAACTTTTTGATGTTTCCAATTATAAGTTAAGACTTAAGGGCCGAAACCGGTTTGGCTCAGTGGATAGAGCGTCAGCCTGTGGACTGAAAGGTCCCAGGTTCAATTCCGGTCAAGGGCATGTACCTGGGTTGCGGGCACATCCCCAGTAGGAGATGTTATTTCAGAAGTACACCCAGTATTTAAAAGAAGCAAGCTTATAATTTACAAGTAACCATAGCCTTCAGTCTTCAGTGGAAGCCAACTTTTTGATGTTTCCAATTATAAGTTAAGACTTAAGGAAAAAAGCCAAGATACCTAAATATTAAAAGTTTTGCTTTACTTTCTAAAACATGAAAATGAAGCCTTGGCTGGTTTTGCTCAGTGGATAGAGTGTCGGCCTGCAGACTAAAGGGTTCCAGGTTCGATTCTGGCCAAGGGCACATTCCCGGGTTGCAGGCTCAATCACCAGTAGGGGGCGTGCAGGAGGCAGCCAATCAATGATTCTAATCATGATTGTTTCTATCTCTCTCCCTCTCCTTTCCTCTATGAAATCAATAAAAAAAATAAATAAAACATGACAATGAAGATGATTCAAAATCCTTTATAGCTTTAGCACATAAGTAAAAGTGTTTAGTAAAATTTAATCTATAGTGAGTAAAACTAAGCAATAAAGACCAAGTTTCCTAATGTAAAAACTAATGACAGTCTTTTTCAGAAAGGAAGTCTGTAGCAAATATTTTTGTAATAATACTACTACATAATGTATCTTTTAAATACATTTTATTAAATGTATTTAAATGTATTAAGGTCAATTTTTTAAAAAATTTGATCAATACAAGCAATTAAGTCTTTACATCCCCCACTTTATGATTACAGTCACACTATTCAGACCAGAAAAGTTGTGTATTTGCTCTATGTAAACAGGTTTTCACCAGAAAACTGCTCTTCAATGCTTCACTGTGATGCTGACGTTGCTTTTGTGGTGCTGGACATGGAGCACGAGTTCCTCCCCCATTTCCACCTGGATGGGATTATCTAAAACAACTGCAGCTTGTTTCCAGTGGGACACTTCACTGGACGTATCTAACCTAATCTCATCATCAAGGTGCATATGATACCAAAATGGAATGGCGGTCACTTGTCCAGATTTACAAATGTGTACCTAGGAAAATTAAGAAATCGTGAGAATTTCATCAGAACAAATAGACCTGAATAAGTCTTTGCCTTGTTAGTCAAATTTTAGATCCAAATTTCATAAATATATTTAATTAGTGACCTATTTTACTCTAATATTTACCCAAGCCCATTTTTGGATATTGTTCAGTAAAGAAATAAACTAAATTTTCAAAGAAAGTGGCTAAAACAGTTTTATGTACATAAAGTGTTACCTAGTTTAAGATAATTATTCTGTGTATGACAAGAGTAATTATTTTAAGTTACCTTTACTTCTCTGTTAGAGGTGTTCAAATATGGAGTCATTAAATCCAGTCTTAGGAGTTCCACTGGCTTGCTTAAAGGTATACAAGGCAGTGAGGACAGGTCCAAAAATGCACGAATAGGTACCTAAACAAAGTACAAATTGTTCACTTTTGTTCAATTCTTTTTATGGCCAACTGATTACTTTGTACTTGGCTCAGTACAATACAATGCTTTTTTCATTTAGCTCAATTCTTAGATCATCTTAAGGTATAAGGAATTTCATGATTCCAGTTTTACAGTTTAGGCAGGTTAAATCATTTGTTTAAACCATGGATTCAATTATCTATGGATACTTTGCTTCGATGGAAACAGATTAAATTTTTACTTAAGCCAAACAGCTCAAAATTTTTAAACCAAGGATATCTTACGTGTGAAAGATGAATAAGCTAATAGTATAACATGAACTATTGAATTTGAGAAAATACGTCAAATTCAACCAAACAACTTAATAGTGGATTTTGTTTGAAAATAAAATAATTTCTTTAAGGCAGTGATTCTCAACTTTGGCTACAAATTAAAACCACCTAGGGAGGCTTTGAAATCTGACCATTCAGGCCACACATCAGATTGATCTGGAGTTGGGTTCCAATTACCAGTAGCTCTGAAAGTAGTCATGCACTGCTTAACCAGGAGATATGTTCTGAGAAATTCATCATTAGGCAAATATCACAGAGTGCACTTACACAAACCTAGATGGTACAGCTCACTACTGTAATTGTGCGATGCTTTCATGTGGCTGGTAGTGCAGTAGGTTTGTTTACACCAGCATGACCACAAACACATGAATAATGTGTTGCTCTATGACATTACCATGGCTATGATGGCACTAGCAACAGAAATTTTTGAGCTCCATGACAATCCTATAGGACCACTGTTGGATATGTGGTCCTTAGGTGACTGAACATCATATGGGGCACATGACTATAGAGTTAAAATTGACAACTAACTGGTATAAAGTGTCCCATCACTTTACCCTCCTCACTTGAAATAAAAAGGAAACAAAAAGTGCCTTCCTGCCTGGCCGGTGTGGCTCTGTGATTGTCAACCTATGAACCAGGAGGTCCTGGTTCGATTTCCGGTCAGGTCAGGGCACATACCAGGGTTGTAGGCTCAATCCCCAGTAGGGGGCGTGCAGAAGGCAGCCGATCAATGATTCACTCTCATCTTTGATGTTTCTATCTCTCTCTCTCCTGTTCCCCTCCTCTCTGAAATCCTGTCTGAATAAAATATTAGAGACACAGATACATCAACCTCTCCCTGGACATCCTTGAAGGCATTCTTCCTTCCTTAGGTTGATTTTTATCCATAGTAAGTTCCTTTGCTCTAGGAAACTGATAAGGATCCTAATCCAGCTAAACATAATCCTATATAATAAAGAGCTAATATGCAAATGGTTGTCGCACCCTCGCGCCTGGGCCAGGGGACCTGAGGCCGCGCCCCCCCGCCCCAGCACCAGGCCTCGCCCCTCGCCCTGTGGGGCTTGACAGGGGTGGGCCCAGCCGGGTCTGGGTCTCACACCATTTCAAGGCGCATGCAGGTGGGCGAGGACTTGACTCTGGGTCCCGCGGCGCGTCCCAGACTGACAGGAGGGAGATTTTCATATACATTTTACTAATTTTCTCTCATCTCTGACACTTCTATTATAGAGAAAGGGCAAATAGCACTATTAAAATATTTCCTCTAATTAATTCCCTTTTAATGTGCACAAGTTTCATGCACTGGGCCAGTAGTGACTATAGAAGATGAGAGAGAGAGAAGGTAGACTGTGGATAACAGCCACATGGTTGAATTTCTCTTCTAGGCACTTACCTGGAACTGGTTAATAAAAGGTGCTATATTTAATCCAAGAGTTCGTGCTGTTCCTTGAACAGCATTCTCTTCTACCAGTGTCTGTGATTCCACGAGCAACCCAAACATCAGCACATACTGAGGAAAGATCTTGCCTCCAGATTGTAGCAAGCACCTAGAGAAAGAGAAGTGTTTAAAAAAAAATCTTGACGCCCCACATTTTATCAATACCAACAACTAAATCAAGATGAATTAGTGAGCTACAAATTATAAGTAGTCTAATGGACTTTTCTAGATAAAAAGCTGATGGAAAAGTTTACAATAGGCAAGCAGGCTGCTCCGTAGTAGCTCTCCCTAAAGGCCAAATCATATACAGGTAATCTGATGAGCACAGTATCAGCAAGGAAAGTTAGAGATGATTCCTTAATGCAATGGCACCAGAATAATGGAAACAAGCCATGCTCCTAAATCAGGATAATCTCAGTAAATATGAGGACATGATCATTTAAATTGTAGTAAGTCCCACAACACATTACCCTAAAAATGGACTCTACCCTGACCCCAATGCTTTACTCATATTTGTTATTCCTTTCCTATTAAGTATTTAGCATTTTAAGTAGTCAGGTAGAAACTGTGCCAGGGTCGTTCTCAGCATCTAGAAAG